TGTCTGTCTCTGTCTGTCTGTCTGTCTGTCTGTCTGTCTGTCTGTCTATATCTATCTATCTATCTATCTATCTATCTAGTCAGACCATCTTTCTCTGACTCTCCTGTAGGTCATTTTGGTCTGATATTGATGGCCAAGATTCAATCACAGGCACCTCTCTGACACCTTTTGAATCTCCATATTTGTTTCAGGCCTGACCTTGCGCTGACCCTGATGTTGGACGTGAACCGCTCTTTAATTAAGTGACATACTATATAAAAACTGTCATATTTGTATTATTGATCCAAGAGCTCACTTATAAAAGCTCTCTTGTATGACAGATTTGCTGTCAAATCATTTCAAGTGAGGTCAAGGAGATATTGTCCTTCTGATATGACTTTTTTTTTCTTCATTGTCTCTTTTTGTGTGTAACACTGCCTTTTTTTGTCTCATTTTGTTGTCTCAGGTCAGATATGCCAAAGGAAATAGTCCTCTGACTGCAAGGTCTCTACAACTGGACAGGCCTAAGAGGACAATAAAGTATCCATGTGCTGATTTAGACCATTTGCCCATGTCAAGTCCTGATGATTCGGACCAAACCCCAGCCCTCCTGTCCAACAAACTCCGGCCATGTCCCGAGCAGGAGCTTTGGGATTGGGCTCCAAACCTGACGGAGACACACCCATCCGCCCAACAATCCAGGAAACGGGTCACAGTGAAAAGTGGAAAAGCTAAGAAGATGTTCGGCTGGGGAGATTTCCAGTGCAAAGTGAAGTCCACGAGCCTCAACCTGCTCATCGCTGGCAAGATCGTGGATCACGGCAACGGAACGTTCAGCGTTTATTTCCGATACAACACCACCGGAGGTGGAAACGTCTCCGTAGGGCTGGTTCCTCCAAGCAAATTGGTAGAATTTGATGCGAAGACTCAACAAACCGTTCTGCACTCGGTAGAGTCAAGGATGTTTAACTGCAGGGTGGAACATGAGAGGGTGGAGAGAGGTACTAAAAGCACACGCTGCTGGAACGACCCGTCTCATAGCTGTGACCAGGATCAGACTCACAGCCATGTTTCTTGGCTCTGCTCAAAACCATTCAAAGTCATCTGTGTCTACATATACTTCTGTAGCTTGGACTACAAACTGGTGCAGAAAGTCTGTCCAGATTATAACTACCACAGCGAGTCTCCGTACTTACCTTTTGGATGATCATTTTGTCTCATAATGAAAACGAAACTGGTACATGTGTTTATTCTAAAATAATTTGGTAGGTTTTCATTTTGAACTGGAATAGGTAAAGTTCAGTATTTGAACATTTTGTCATGATTTATTCATCAACTTAATATGTTCTGATTTGAACATGTAGTAATAATCTGTAGTAATAATATGTAATCTTTCGATTGTAGTTGGCATGAGTGTTACAAAAATTAGTTTGGAAAACATTTTTCATGCAACTGACATCACAAAACAAGTGTCAGTGAAAATGCATACAAAATCCATATTACATCTGTATTTATTAAGACAAGCATGTCTGTATATTCATTTAAGCCTGTTCATTTAAGATTGTATGGCTATTTTGTGGAGGATAAGATGGGATAAATTTAAAACCATTATATAATTTCATTATATAATAATGAAATGTTCAATTTATTTATTTTTAAATTGTGAAAAATCTTTAGTAAAGGCATCCTTTGTCTCCATGCACACTTATGAACTTCATCAGAAGCTGATCTCTGTGGCAGGTGCATGCTGGTGAATTTGTGTCATTATTTCTGACAGCCAGAGCAAAACTTAATGAGCTCCTGTAATTGACTTTGCTTTGCTGAGATCGTGTGTCAACGTTTTTGTCATTTCTCTGATGATTTAATGAAACCGCTATGAACCTGAATACAGTTTGATGCCACACACTGTTGGAGACAATTACTTCTATTGAAAATGAATGTCTTCTAAATCAAATCTTCTACATTTGTAATATCTCGTAAATCTTGTACGTTTTCATTTTTTCCCCTTTTCCACCCAGCATCTCTAAATGTACATAATCGCACTGTGATTGGTCAATTCTAATAAGCGCTGATAAAAGTAACAAGCACCACATGCTAACATCTGCGCGCGCCTATTCTTGAGAATAATTTACACCTGAATATACTGATACAAAGATACTTTAATGGTCATTTAAAAACTGCGAGACCCTAAAGTATCATTATCATATCATAAAATCTTTCAGAACGACCATAGCTGCGCATTTAGGGTCCGTTTCAAGCTGAACGTGACTCAGTGCGCTCTTGCAGTAGCACGCATGACGTCATCACTCCTCCTGCAAGGACACGCACCCAAAACGCGCAGTGATACACATATAGCGTTTCATTTTCCTATTACAGCATGTCTTAGACATCGACAGCCGGGGTCCAAGCTCATAAGGTGAGTCGCACAATAATCCAATTCATTATTATTATCATAAATAGCTCGTTTCCTGTATTGCATAATGACAGAATATAGTGTTTGTTTTGGTGCGGCAGAGAATGAAATCCGGATGTGAGAATCACATAGAGGCTGAATATTGTGAGGGATGTGTTTACTGTAGTTTAGCTATTATTAATCCGGTTTAATAATAAAGATGATATCTTCCTATAGAAAAATGCACGTGAAAGATAAAGAAGAGGCCTGTATGTTCAGTGTATTATTTCTTATTTACACGGTGCAATAATAACAAAACATTATACATGCTTGAATGCTTTGTGACGTATTACCTGTAAATCTGTCAATTAACGCAATGTGTTAAACTATTAAACGTGGTAGGCTATTTTCAGTTATAATGAAATAATTATATTTATTTATTTATTTATTTCAGATAGCTGATAATCATGGAGAAAGGGAACCAGTGAGTATGCGGAAACCACACTCTAAAAAATGCTGGGTCGTTTCAACCCAACTTTGGGTCAAATATGGACTAACCCAACTTTTGGGTTAAAAATTTAATGTAAAAATTTAACCCAACGGTTGGGTTAGTCCATATTTGACCCAAAGTTGGGTTGAAACAACCCAGCATTTTTTAGAGTGCATCCATTTGCAGACATTCATTATAAAGTCTCGAACTTAAACAAAATGAGGTGCATTCATAATTGGTTTGTCATGTTTTTGCAGAGGTATTTCTCATTTTGATCACTTTCTCCAAAATCAAGAATCATCAGTGGTCAACAAGTTCCAGCAGAAATACTGGAAAACCAAGCAAACACTGATTAAAGTCACAGGAAAGAAGGAAGATGAACATGTGGTTGCTTCCGATGCGGATCTGGACGCTAAACTGGAGGTGAGGAGCGGCCCCAATCCAAACTTTCCTCTGGGTCTGAACGAATCAAATGGTCTTGTGATGAATGTGGTTTTTCATGCTTTCCTTCAGGTGTTTCATTCAGTACAGAGAACGTGCATGGAGCTCCTTAAGGTGATTGAACAGTATCAAATGAGAATCAGCCGTAAGTAAACTGAAAATTCACACGTTTCTTAAAGGGGTCATATGATGCGATTTCAAGTTTTCCTTTCTCTTTGGAGTGTTACAAGCTGATTGTGCATAGATAAGATCCCTGAAGTTGCAAAGACTAAAGTCTCAAAACCAAAGAGATATTCTTTATCAAAGTTAAGACTCTGCCACGCCCCCCTAAAACGGCTCGTTCTAACACACCCCCACATATCTACCTCACTATGTGGAAATATTTGCATAATGCGCCCAAATGTGCACGCAAAGAAAGAAGGCATGGTTTCAGTAACCTCAGTTAATGTTGAAGCAGCCATGTCAGGGAGACGCTGTGTGAAAGCAAAAGCACTTTATTTGGCCTTTCCGAAAGTAGATGCATTTAGGAATCTTTACGATTACTTACAACAGAACAGCAATGCATTTTATGGACGACCGTTTCGTGAACCTAGGAGAGGAGGTAATTCTGACTTTGCTATGACAATCTGGCGCTTCTGAATCAGCGACTGTTTTGTTATTAGTTTAAGTATTTGCTATTGACTGTTCAAATGCGGAGTTTTGCGCATCGTGTGTGTGTGTGTGTGAGAGAGAGAGACAGCGTCACATCACAGTAGAGTCAGCTGTCTTAACCGCGGCTTGTGTACTGCATCATTACTGTGTCTGTCACGCGACTCTGTTCCCCTTTCGGGCTTGAACTGATGGTAAAACTAATGACATTATTTACTGTCTTTACATTTATTTTGAAAGATGAAGCTTGCGATTATGGTAAGGGGCGTTACATTTCCGACGAGTGCTTGCAGTGTTCGGCCAATCACAATGCACTGGGTCAGCTGGCCAATCAGAGCAGACTGCGCTTGTCGGAAGGAGGGACTTTGTAGAAAACGAAGTGTTTGAGAGAGGCGGGGCATAGAGGACCTACAATAATGTACAGTATTTGAAAAATAATGTGTTTTTTGAACATTAAAGCATGTCAACAAATTCTGTTACACCAAATACACAAAATAATGATCTTTAAAAAAGCATCATATGACGCCTTTAATATTCATTAATCGTTGTGAAAAAGAAGTATGCTTAATTTTATTATATGTGTAGTGTACTTCAAATCTTAAAAAAATACTGATGAAATAAAAGGTCACTTAAGTGTACTGAAAGAGAGTACAGTACATGTAACATGTCATGTTACTTAACACACAACATTTATTAGTACATTTGAAATCATTGTGATTTAAAAAAAAAATGACACTTACTTTGATGTGCCGACTAACATACTAAAGCACATACTTGATTGTTATTTTTAACTAGTGTTATTTGATATTACATTTAAAGTGAATATATTTTAAATGTACTAAATTGCAGTTTGATCATTACAAATGTGTACTTACAAATATATTTAAATGCATAACATACACGTTTCAATTAAAGTAATCACATGCAAGTGGCATTGAAGTATAGTTTAGTTTACTGGAATCAGTTAATGCTTGTCAGTACATTATGCAGTACTCTTTAACTATACTGCAAAGACCGTAGAAGTAATTATAAAAAATAATATATAAAGATGTACTTATGTCCTGCTTAAGTGGGTCAGAAAAAGTACTTTTACATTCAACTAATTGCATGTAATACTTTTCAGCTAATCGCACATTAAATAACATGCAATTACGGGTCAGAAAACATTGCATTCACTTTGCACTTAAAGATATTCTTGTAAAGTACATTATTTCCATAATAATTACTCTTTTAAAAGTATGCTAAAGTCTACTTTTTTCACAAGGCTAGGGATAACTTTTTGCTGTACACTCTTAAAAATAAAGGTTCTTTATTGGCATTGATGGTTCTGTGAAGAAACTTTAACATCCATGGAACCTTTCAAATGCTCAACAGGTTCTTTATAGTGGAAAAAAACAAAACATAATGGTTCTTCTATGGCATCGCTACAAAAACCCCATTTGGAACCTTAATTTTTAAGAGTGTGCCGTTCAAATGCTTAAAACTTAAAGGTAGATTTCAGACGTGATTTATTATTCAAAGAAAACAGATGTATGTGGCTAAATTCTATTGGCCTTCTCAGTTTTGTCCCAGGAGGAGAATGAACTGGGTCGGTTCCTGCGTTCACAGGGCTCTAAGGACAAAAGTCGTGCTGGAAAGATCATGCAAGCTACTGGGAAAGCTCTCTGCTTCTCTTCACAGCAGAGGTCTCTTCGTTGATTATAAAACAAGCTTCTAATCAAATGCGATTGGTTTGGGAATTCTTCTTTAATTGGTTCATTCGTTTCTCACTGCAGATTGGCGCTGCGAGGTCCGCTGGGCCGTCTGTACCAGGAGGTGGAGACGTTCCGTTACCGAGCTATTTCGGACACATGGCTGACGGTGAACAGGATGGAACAGTCACGGACTGAGTACAGAGGAGCTCTGCTCTGGATGAAGGACGTTTCTCAGGAGCTCGACCCGGACACACACAAGCAGATGGAGAAGTTCCGTAAGGTCAGTCTCAGCCTGGAAATGACAGTGTGACTGCAGTGAAACCATTTCTCCAGCAGAAGGAGTAAAGTGTCTTCTAAATCATTCTCATCTAGAGTGGGATTAGAATCAGAGGTCTGCTACCCGACCCAAGCCCGACGGGTCCCGAAATACTTTCGGGTTTCGGTTCGGGTCGGGCTCGGGTTTATAGCTAAACTAAAACTATATGCAGTAGGCTATGCTGCTTTCATAGACGCATGCACACACATTATTGCACATGACAATGACAACACAGCACGGAAACTTTTATTAGTAAAATATTTTCGACAGGCTGTTTTTGAAGTAACTAAGCCTCATTGCTTGTAGAGAGAGACGTGCAGACGCAGGTTCACACACGCAACTTTCATCTCTCTCTCTCTCGCTAATTCAAATAAATTATATAATTAATTAATTCAAATAAATGCGATCTTACCGCACTGCATCTCTGTGTCTGATTTAAAGCAGGCCGAATGCTAACGAGCCTTAACTGATGAAAATGACCATAATTTGCACGATGGAAGAACACTGTAAAATCTAATTAGTTGGGCTTACTTAAAAAAAGCATGCAAACCGATTGCCTTGAAAAAACTAAGTAACGTGAAATAGGAATAGTATGTTGTACTGACAAATGCTTAGTTAGTATAGTTTACTTACACGAGAGTTCTAGTAACTAAAAAAGAACTGTAGGGGGTACTTGATCCTTTCATTTAGGTTTACTCGTGACTTAGTATAGCTACTCACTGACTCCCAGAGTTCATTGTGGCATGAATAAATTATGCAGTTGCTTTGTTTTACAGTTGATTTTATTTGCCAATTTTATTTGCTGTCTTGTGTCAGTAGTAGCACAACAAAAAGAGCAAATAAAATGGTTATGGTTACAATTAATGAAAATAAATGAAATTGAAGTGTTACCATTGTTGTGATTCACGTGCTGAATGTTTAAGTCTGTGTGTGACTTTAGCATATTACCACACACTATTTAAGGATTATATAAGCCTTATTAAGAGCTTCTCAAGGTAATTATGAAAAATTTAATTTGCAAAACTCTGACTTCATGATGCATTGCTGCATTAACAGAAAAAAAATTATAGTAACATAAACCAAGTTCCAAGTGCCTAACCAAAGGGAACGCTAATCACTATAATGTGAGTAAAAAAAACAAAACCACATTTTAGGAAAATCAACATCAATTTATGAAGTTAGCTTTTGTGATGTTCTCTCAAATATTTCAGTTGTATTGAGAATTCAACATTCAAGATGACTTTGGGAAACGAGTGAATTGGTAAATGTTTTTTTTTCTTTTGCCTTGTGAACTGGCCGAGCCTTAATGATTCTCTTTCTTTACATGTTTACTGACCGTTGCATTCAATCGTGAAATACAGCATCTTTTTTAAATTTGACTATTCGTTGTGGGGGGGAAAAAAGATTTCGGGTTCGGGTCGGGTTCGGGCTCTAAATTTAACTGCGCTGCTCGGGTCGGGTCAGACGATCTCGGGTTCAGGCTTCAGTTTAAAGCCCGTGCAGACCTCTAATTAGAATGTCTTCGAGGTTCAAGGTCTGAAATGTCGTTGCTAATCTTTACCTCTTGTTTCTTTTGCTGGTTGTATTTGATGAGCAGTAGTTTCATCTTTTCACATCCCTCAGGTTCAAACCCAGGTGCGTCATACCAAGACAGGTTTTGACAAACTGAAGAATGATGTGTGTCAGAAGGTTGAACTGCTCGGAGCCAGTCGCTGTAATCTGCTCTCACACGTCCTGACAGCCTATCAGGTGCTGCATTTTAATTGCTTCTTGATGCTTATTTCTATTATTCTATTATTATTTTTTATTATTTTTACCTGATTAGTGAGCATTGTAAATGTGATGAATTTAGCTTTATATTTATAAAATAATATATTTATACAGTAATGAAACTATAATACTTTTAAATGTAATACAGCAGAAATATTGTTGTTTTTTTATTTGGTGTAAAACTGTAATCATTAGACATTAAACCATGAATGAGTTATTTTTCATTTAAATTAATTTAATTTAATTTAATTTAATTTAATTTAATTATTTTGACTATTTATAAATTATTATTTTTATTATTACTTTTTATTATTTGTATTATTATAATTTTATCTAAATGAATTGTTAATAAAGGCAATTATATCTCACAATTTAGCAGAATAAAGTCTTCCAGAATGACATGTCATGAGGATAAATATCTGTCTTTTCTTCTATTTCAGACCACATTGCTACATTTCTGGGAGAAAACCTCTCACACTATGGCTGCTATTCATGAGAGCTTCAAAAGCTGCCAGACTCATGAGGCTTCAGCGCTGGGGGTGAGAGCTTTCAGAAGAAATTAATCTCAGATTTATTCATATGGATGTGTGTATTTACTTTCATGGCTCTCATTTTGTGTTTAAACTATAAAATAAGTTTGTATCATTTTTCAGTGAGATTTGGATTTGTTTCTGATGTTTTTAGTATTTAAAAGAAAGATGATTTTCGTACATGTTATATTTACATTTATTTATTTATTTAGCATAGCAAATTTTTGGGAAAAAAATACACTACTTTTCAAATGTTTGGGGTCAGTAAGATTTTACTTTTATTCAGCAAGGATGCATGAAATTGACCAAAAATAACTCATAAAGTTACAAAAGATTTTTATTTTAAATAAATGTTCTTTTGAACGATCATACTTTTCAATAAAAATATAAAGCAGCACAATTGTCTTCATAATTAATAATAATAAGAATTGTTTCTTGAGCAGTAAATCAACATATTAGAATGATTTCTGAAGGATCATGTGACACTGAAGACTAGAGTAATGATGCTGAAAATTCAGCTTTGATCACAGGAATAAATTATATTTTAAGATATATTCAAATTGAAATATTATTACAACTTAAAATAACTGTTTTCTGAGTTTTTACCATATTTTCGATCAAATAAATGTATGCTTGGTCAGAATAAGAGACTCTCTGCAACCCCAGACTTTTGAATAGTAGTGTGTGCTACAGACTGAGGTTTGGATGTCTCCCTTCTCAATTATGATATCCTTTTGATATTGTCAGTAGCAGAGAAATGTTTTCACATGATATGGGGCAAGTTGTCACAACAGGAACCTGCTGCTTATTGATTATTCATCCCAAAATAGGCTTTTGCCTCCGATTTGTGATCAAATAAAAACTGTTAAGTTTAGTAAAAACTCACCCATTCTCGTTTACACAAACAAGCAGTGATATTACGATGCATGTCCAACAAATCTGTTCATCTGTTGTGTCTGATACTCCAGGGATCAGATCAAGCTGCAAAGAAAAAGGTAAAGAAGAAAACGAAGGCAAAAGCAGACGATGAGGAGACGAGTCAGAATACAGATGAAACGTAGGAGCCTCATTTCGTTTTTATTTTGATGTGTGATATGTGACCCTGGACCACAAAACCAGTCATAAGGGTCCATTTTAAAATAAGCTTTCCATTGATGTATGGTTTGTTAAGATCGGACAATATTTGGCCGAGAGACAACTATTTGAAAATCTGGAATCTGAGGGTGCAAAAAAATCAAAATATTGAGAAAATCGCCTTTAAAGTTGTCCAAATGAAGTTCTTAGCAATGCATATTACTAATCAAAAATTAAGTGTTAATATATTTACAGTAGTAAATTGACAAAATATCTTCATAGAATATGATCTTTACTTAATATCCTAATGATTTTTGGCATAAAAGAAAAATCAATCATTTTGACCCATACAGTGTATTTTTGGCTATTGCTACAAATATACCCCGGTGACTTAAGACTGCTTTTGTGCTCCAGGGTCACATATTAACCTCTAATCACTTATGTCTTCTCTTCCAGGCTTATTTCAATTGAAGAAGAAACTCTGAGCAGTAACCTCATGCAAACAGGTAAAGCTTTCATAAAAACAGAATTTTATCCATAGCACACAATTGAATTCAACATTGTTGAGCAGTGACTTTGCACTGTATATACAGGAAATGATGACACTTTCTCTGGCGGTCAGGAGAAGGATGGCTTGAGTTTGTTGAATGAGATACTGGGCAGCAGTTCTCTAGAGGACGGGGGTTTCTCACAGGAATGGCGTGAGGTGTTTGGAGAAGATGATCCGACCGGCAGTAGCAGAGCAGAGACGCAGCCACCCGAGGACGAGCCCGCTTTCTTTCTGCCTTCTACTCTACTCGACCAGAACATGAACGACCTACAGTCCACAGTCTCAGGTCTGCAGAAACATGATCTAACAGAAAGTCTGCTTCACTCGGCAGCTTATTCTGGACATGAACTGTCCACTTAGACACGAACAGACTGAAATCTGTATCTTCTGTCTGAAATAGATTATATAATAATAATAGATCATCATGAAACAAACTATACACTACAGTTCAAAAGTTGGGGTTGGTAAGATTTTTTAATGTTTTTGAAAGTATGCTCACCAAGGCTGCATTTATTTGATCAAAAATACAGTAAAAACAGTAATATTGTGAAATATGATTACAATTTAAAAGTGTTTTATATTCAGTTATATTTTAAAATGTAATTTATTCCTGTGATCAAAGCTGAATTTTCAGCATCATTACTCCAGTCTTCAGTGTCACATGATCCTTCAGAAATCTATTTCTATTATTTTGTATTATTCTAATATGCTGATTTGCTGCTCAAGAAACATTTACTATTATCAATGTTGTGCTGCTTAATGTTTTTGTGGAAACCATGATCCGTGTTTTTCAGGATTCTTTGATGAATAGAAAGTTCAAAAGAACAGAATTTATTTGAAATCTTTTGGAACATTATTTCTTAACTGTCACTTTCGGTCAATTTAATATGGAAGCCCATTTCCCCCACAGACAAAACAAAACAAAACAAAAAAAATCTCACAATTGTTAAAAAAAAATAATAATAATTTGGATTGCAAAGGGGAAAAAGATCCGAATTCTGAGTTTACATTTTGTAATTCTGACTTTGATTTTTTTTTATCTCACAATTCAGACTTTGTTTCTTGCAATTCACAGTTAATCTTTTAAATTTTTTGTTCTGTGGTGGAAATGGGCTTCCATAATTGAATGTGTCCTTGCTTAATAAAAAAAAAAAGTATTATTTTCTGACCCCAGACTTTTGAATGGAAGTGTACATCTACTGTAAATGCTTTTGAATATTGTCTGTATTACAGGTTGGACAACAGCCATTCCACAGAATAGTCCTGAAAACTCATCTGTAGCAAGTCAAATCTCTTCCAAATCTGCAGTGAAAGGTAAATATGACAAGAGCTATTTATAATATGTCAGTCATATCCAGTTTTGAGAGTGTAAACAGAGAGATTAAATAATAAACTAAAATTAAATAAAATCGATTGACCACATTTCAGATTTTATTTCAGACCAAATATTTACACCCCAAACTTTAGGTTGTATTTTTGTATATATTACAATGCATCTTTACAAACAAACAAATAACGTATCATTCTAATCCTTTTTTTTTTTGTATTACAGATACTTCAAAAGATCTCTCTGCTTGGTTCAATCTGTTTGCCGATCTGGATCCGCTGTCAAACCCAGATGCGATCGGCCGAACCGATGAGGAACACGAGCTACTGAATGCGTAATCTGTCCTGTTACAGCTGCACTTTATCGCACTTGTGGCACAAGAGGCCTACAGACGCCTGCACTGGACAGATAGCAACACTGGTTTCTCTATGCCATAGCAGTTAACCTGAATTATTTCATGAATAAACATTTGCTGCCAAAGGAAACTAATAATAATCACTCTGGCCTTTATTCTTTTCCATTTGCTAGTATTGTCAAGGCAGTTTGAATTGCCATAACAATGTGGATTTTCTTGTATTACATAAATGTATATACTACTGACACATTATCATTATCAGCAACAGTAAGTAGTTTGGGTTTGCATGTTGTGTGATATTGCATGATTTCAGATTTTTTTATTGTTATTTCTTTTAAATGTCGTCTTGATCAGTTAAGAAATAGAAAGTATTTTTCCAAATGTTATTTAAGTAGGCATTTTGTCTTAATTTAGTGCCGTCAACTAAAACTAATGCTGCATTTCAGAAGCCTTAAATATGAGAGGACTTTATTACAGTCCTTCAATTAATTTATTTTCATGAATATTATATATTATATTAGCTTATGGAAACTTCACCTTATGTGAAAGCAGCTATCAATAGGTCAAGGTGTACATAAATTGAAGATGTTAAGATGTATGTTTATGTTATATAAAGCAACTGTGCTCACTTTTTACAGGCTGGGTTCTGGAAGTAATTTTTCTGGAAAAGCATATATAATAAATAATAAAACAACAGGTTTTCATTGTAGGTTTGTTGAAAGGGGAAACATTATGAGAGACAATTAATGGGATTTTTACTTGCAGAACCTGGCTATTATACTCTATTATTTTTGTCATGCATACCAATCAAACTTTGGTAAAACATTTATGTATCTGTTGGTTAACTGTATTTCTTAGTGTTTGTGTGCCCGAAACATGATTCCCATGTACTACAAATTACCTTTCACCATACATATTTTTACATGCAAGTGCAATAAAATGTAATAAAGATTTGTAAATGTGATTCCACAATACGCAGTGAGACCAAAAGGCCTTACTGAAGTCAGTTCTTATCAGTGCTTTACAAGACAAAGTAAAATATGCATCATAAGAAATCATATCCCACTACTACACCAAATAATGCCATACAATTTTCAATATTTTGTGTTGTACTCGTGTGTTTCTTCCATTTGTAATATGGCTGTAACCCTGAATGGCATGAAATGAATAAAAGCAGCTTCATTTTATCCAGTAGTGGGACTATATCTTTTATAATATACATAACCAAATTACATGCTGTTAACTAGAAACATTCCTTTAAAAATATTTCGAAAGAAAATTATTTCAATTATTCCCAGAAGAAAATTCTGTTCCCCATTTCTATAGTAAGATTTAACATTTCCATGACTATTAGTTTTCATATATTAACATGTACACAAATTACCGGTACATTTTTTTTCGATTTTAGAAAAATTTCGATTTAGAATGTTCATAGCTGTTTAATACGAACATTACAAATCCCTGACCCAACCAATTATATGCAGTTTAAAAAATAGGAAGCACATAGTTGTAGTAAAAAACAGAGAAATTAATGCAAATATTATATCTTGAAAAATGTCACTTTAATGTGAGCATCCAGCAGTCATATTTATACACCATAACAGTGTCACACGAATCAAAGAGGCTAAAAACACAAAGCCATACTGTTCAATAAACGTATGGATGTTAGGGCTGAGCAGCATATAGAATATGTGCAATATATTTGCAATCCTTTTGCTGGCAACATAATGACGGTGAAATTTCATTTCTTCTACAGGAAAAAAAAAAATCATCAAAAGACTAAAATATTGAAATATACTTAGTTAGCTATATCGTCCAGCCACAGAGTTATGTGTTAAGGCATGAAGCAGATTTTTGGCTGTTGGCCTGTTGATTATCTGTCATATCTAATGCGTGTTACCTGGTTAGTAGGATGTGCTGTAAGGTTAAGTAAAGATTTGTGCATTCCAGCAGAATTACATGAAACCCCAAGACAAAGTTCAACATGATGGTCCTTTTGGACAACCATTAGCAAGTAATACATTTCCTAGAAAATCCCTAGAAAAGTCAGCTGTTTGAGATCTGAGCTGTGATTGGCTAACTGAGCAGCAGGCACTTCCTAATACTGCAGCATTCTGACGACACGGGCCGCAGCGGGAAGCTGTTTTGCACTGAGGCCTCTGTAAATGGACCAGACGTCTGTCCTGAAGTTTGAGTATCCAGTGAACTGGGGCGAGCAGCATCATCTGACGGGAAAAGAGACGAACACAGCAGCTTCACTGGACAGAAGGCCGAGCCGCTCGGAGTGAAGTTCACCTTGTTTCTGTCTGGGCAGGAGAAAATGGGAAAGCCTTGAAAAACTTTTATTTTGGATGTGATTCATCGCGATTAATCGTTTGACAGCTCTAATATATATGTATAAATGTTTATACATGCCTATATGAATATATATACATATATCTTTTTGAGATATTTGCAATATATATATATATATATATAAAAGAGTATAAAAGAGTAGAGGTAGAGATAACTTACACAAGTCCAATGGCACAAAACCTCAGCCCAATAACATTGCAAATATAGCTTGTGTGTGTCTTCTTATGAATTAATGTCATTTTAAAGGCCTTTTTTACACATGGTTGTTGACAGTTGTCATTTTTATGATGCACAACCAACCAGCTTTGCTGTCATTAGCCACTTACACTCCTTTATGCATTAGCCACTTACACTCCTTTCTCTCCAAACCTGCATAAGCGCATGCCATACTTTTAATTAATGTGACTTAAACACTTATCCGCTTGTGTGGGCACCTCACATCACTGCACTGCGGATGTCTGGGTAATTTTCCTGTTCAGCTTAAAGGGGTCATGTGATGCGATTTCAATTTTTCCTTTCTCTTTGAAGTGTACAAGCTCTTGGTGCATAAAGAAGATCTGTAAAGTTGCAAAGACTAAAGTCTAAAATCCAAAGAGATATGCTTTATAAAAGTTAAGAGTCAACCACGCCTACCTAAAACGGCTCGTTCTAATACGCCCCCACATATCTACGTCACCATGTGGGAAGATTTGCATAATGCCGCCCAAATGTTCACGCAAAGAAAGAAGGCGTAACTTTTATTCTCACTGTAGTAT